ATAGTCATCTCTTAACAGTTACTCCATTTCACACATTTTAGGCATTTATCTTGTAATTGCAATCTCATGCACACAAAATGCCACATGCCATGTACCCATTCCAAACGTTTTTCGCACGAGATGATATGATGGCACCCCAGACTACTCCAATTCAGAATGTACAGTGACTTCTAACTTGTTAACTGCACAAGTATGACATATAATAGAAGTTCCAGATTACCAACTCACGAAGATGATCATAATTCAGCAAGCAATTGATATCAGATTAAAGCAAATCAAGCATCATTAGAAAGCTTGAAGAGTCAAATCTCTATCATCAGACGACAAGAAGTCAAGATTCAATCACCTTAAATCAGTAATTTACAGATTCCAATCAGCATGTAAGAACAAAACAGTTTTGGGCAACTATTTAAATCAAGACTATTACTTTAGTAAATCATTTTGAAAATTCACAAAACTTTAATATGTTATAGGTAAGTTCATGATTGACATTTTTCATAAAAAATACTAAGTTCTAAATCAGTCTGTATATATTTCAGTAATTCACTCAATCAAAGCAATCCAGAATTACTGAAAACAGAGATCTTGTGGTCCAAGAAATAGCCATTTCACAAACCAAAATTACTCAAAATATTTTGGAATTTTTCTATGTCCTAGGCATGGGTATTATCTACAATTTTCATGAAGAAAGTATATCCAAATTCGAATTGGAAAATTTCCGAGAAAATCAGGAGTATGCAAAGGTCGTAGCCCGTTTCCCAGTACACATGCAAAAACCGGTAATGTTCAAAGCCTTCATACATATCATTTAAATTCCAAAAATTCTGAAATTAAAATATGTTGTATTTCAAGATGTTACACACAACTCTTATGAAGGAATTTTTGTGAAATTCGTAACACAAAGAGCCACATAAAAATAGCAAACAGTAAGGGTTAGATAGTTTCGAGTTAAAAAAAAACATATAGACTTACAAATTTACCCAATCTTGAAAGATCTGCAAACTCTAGATAAAAAATCATCAAGACCAAGTACTACAACTCACATGCATAAACTATCTCAACAAGAATTCAACAGAACTAACCAAGACCAAGAACAACAAAAAGAAACTAAGAGCCAGAATCAAACCGGGGCATCAAGAAAACCAAGAAGATTAGTAGTTAGGAATTTCTCCTTGCCTTGAAGCTTCAAAGACTGAAATTTACTCCTTAGTTGCTGTGTTCTTGAGAGAGTTTTTGAGAGAAAATGATGAGAATGAGGGTGAGAGGGAGAAGGGAGTTCGGCTGATTGAGGGGTAACGGGAGAGAGGTTGTGTTGAGTGTTAAACCCTCTTTGATCTCCTTGTATGAAAATCTATTAGACAAGAGGGGCGGCCATAATGATATTTAGACCTTAATAATTAATAAATTGAAGTGTATAGGTGATATAAGGTGGTCGGCTAAGTATGGGGTGAGAAAAATATTTCAATTGTGTCCTACCTCTTGTAAATTGGGCTCTAAGTACTGAAATTTAGGACTATGACTTATCCAATAGGCTCTTATAATTTTTCGGACAAGACATATATTAAGTGCTGTCGCGACCTAACCTCGGCTAATGGATTATTAAGACTAAGCCTAACTCGGGCCCTCCCAAGCCCTATCAATTCGCGACTTAGGGTTAAAGTTCTTAACGTGCAAATGTCTTCATGCTTGGAGTCACCACTAATCTATTTGCGGTAGGTCGATTAAAAACCTAAAATAAAACATAGGGAGATATGTTTTAGTTTTACGAACCAGAGATTCTAAGCTCGGGGACTTGATTACGCTAGATCTAGTATAACGCCATTTCGGTACCTTTTCTTTAAAAAAAAATGTTTTGGCAGGTAGTCTGGATCCATTTTATTACCTAGATACTGACATGCAGGGATGACCATGCGAGTGCGCAATCCACCAATTTAATACCCAGCGATTAATTAAACCTAACATGCAAACTATATGACATGCAATTAAATGACCTAACTCTAATGACGGGCAAATGATGTATTTTTTGGTATTTTTCATTTAAATTCGGAATAAAGAAAATGCCTAAGTTAACATGAGATCTACCCTAAAAAAAGCAATTTTATTTATTCTAGAACTACTTCTCTTTTTGGTATTTTTTAATTAAAATTCGAAATTAAAAATTACTCAAATTGACATGCAATCTATCCTGATCTATCCTAAAGTAACTCATTTTTTGGGATTTTCATGGAAATTATAAATCTTAAAATACCCTAAATAATCTATTAGGATTAGAATAACACCTAATTTAAACTAAGGGATAAATTATCTTAAGTCCTAATTTTAAACTAAATAATTATCCTATCTTCTAGATATATTTAGGATTCCTTAAACAAGTAAAACTTCTAATTTAAATCCTACTAACATATTTTTGGATTTTCTCTTTAAAGGGAATATAAATCACACGAAAGATAACAATCACGCATCAACCAATTCGCACAATCCGCAAAATTATTCTGATCTTATTCGAATTAGGAAAGGGAATCGAACTAACAGTCGTATCTATAGGGTTATAGATATCGATGGAAAATCGATTGTTTGAATTTGGAAAGCAGATAAGATCCATTATCATATCCAAGTAGTTATGGATAAGATAATGAACTTTCCGTACCGTTGCATATCGTACCTTAGGGTTAAGGTCAGACAAATTGTTCAAATAAGTTGCTAAATTAGGTAGAACTCCCAATTCGGGGTATCTTAGGATATTGCGGATATCACAAATATTAGCCTAAGGTATCTAGTTAATTATGCGATATTCACAGAATATTCAAAATATTCAAACTAGGAATCTAAATATTTTGAAAATATACCGGATAGAAATTTTTACCTAATTTACATATTTCTTTCCAAATTTGAATCGCCGGCAGATTGGGATTGCGGTCGTCAGTGGGTGACCGGCGATGGGCAGTCAACGGCGAACATTGGCCGCGCCGGTGTAGGGATGCCATGGCCACGTGAGCAACAAGAAACACCGGGACAGATCGGGGACGACGCAGGGTGGTAAGCTCATGCTCGGCTAAGTATCGGACCAACGGGATCCTCTGGGACGACACTGAACGGCAATGGGGATGACGGTGACGGCGGGGGCAGGCGAAGGACTCGCTGGAGCAACAAATCCCATGAGGTCTCGGCAGCGGCTGGACGACAAAGGAGGTAGCAGCTCACTGGGGTCGGGTCGGCACGACAGCAGCACAGCATCGGGCGGCGGCTGGGCCAGGCGGGGTAGAAGCTCGGGCGGTGTGAGGAAACCGGGCGTCTCGGGCGTGGCGGCTGGATAGCGTGGGTGCAGCAGCAGTCGGGCGCGGGAGCAGTGACGACGGCGTCGGGCTTTGGGGCGGTGGTGGTGTCGGTCGCTGGAGCAACAACGGCAGCAGCAGGCGATTGTCGAGTGTGGCTCAGGTCAGCAAAGGTAGCAGGAGCAATGACGGGCCAGGCGTAGTAGCGGCTTAGGCGTGACGGTTGGGTGGCGAGCTAGGCGGGACCAGCGGCGTCGGGCAGCAGTGGGGAACGGTGGCAGCAGCAGCGAGTGATGAACAACAATGACGAGACGTAGATGCGAGATGGGCGCAGCGTGGCAGCACGGGTGCGGGGCAACGTGGTGGTGAGAGGACGCAAGCGCGGCTGAGCCCACCCACGGTCCTCTCTTACTCTCTCACTCACGTGTGTCTCTCGTGCTCTCAGGAATCGTGTTCTGAAAATTATGAGAGCTTCCTCATATTATGAGGCATAACGATATATTTATATTGCATATCTATATTGCATATCTAGGTTAATTGGCCAGGCTTCTAATCCTAGTGGGCTTTGGCTTAGGCTTTATCATATAATTTTATTGTAATTCCGAATAGGTTGAATTAATTTGAGCTTTTCTCTAATTAAGCTCAATGGGCTAATTTAAGCTCAAATTAAGACAATCAAGACCCGTTACCCCATCCTCAGAATGAGTCGAATTTCGCTCGGCACCTAAGCTCGGTTTATGCTACGAATTTTCAGCTTACTTGCCGCCACCGGTCCTATGCGGAATGTAATTAGCTAGCTTATATGAACCTAAACTATATGCTATGCAATTTTAATATTTTTGTTTAGGGGTTAAAATTTAATCCATAATTTTCTATGCAATTAATTATTAAATGGTCGGTCGAAATTTAGGTGTTAACAAGTGCCATTGTTCCTCAATTCCATAAATGACCGTTGAAAATGTGTCATTTAAATAAATTCGATCACCATTACCAAAATCAATTTCCTTGGCTTACTAAGTGGATATGCGAAATTCAGGATGTCACAACTGGAGCCATGCTTTGCTGTAACTGTGTTGCAAAGTGTTGTAACTCATGTGTTTAGTAAACTATGTTTCAAATTTGTAGCACCTTAGAACTAGGTGGGCCAGCTTCTTAGAAAACTGTTGTAACCGAATGTAATGTAGCTCTGAGATGCTTTGTCAAACACTTTATAAAAGCCGCATTACTTATTTTTATAATCGAAGCTGCATTGAAACTGTACCAAATATTCTCCTCACATACTAAATTTATTAAAGTCATTGTTACTTTATAGCTTATCTGATTCGACATCATATTTTGGCCAGCGAACATGGTTAGGATAGCCCGGACAAATTAGATGCTATAGCGAAAGAATCAAACATCATTTTACATAAAATCATGTCTTTGATTGACGGCATACAATTCCAAATTATGAGCATCTTCACATACGAATTCGATAAAATTAAACGCTGGTGATGTCCGTATTCGTAACCCGTCAAAAAAACAAGATTGGTTGGAGAATCCCATGGATATTGGAAAACATGGGGGAAGAGGAAAGTTGAAGATTAAAAGCTCCCGCGGCCGTTTCCGTAAATAAAACGAGGGACCGGGGGCAATTCCGGAACGAGGCAAAACAACGTTGACGCGTTCCCGTTGTTGTGTTTGTGTGCGTTGTTTCGACATCCGAATAAGAACCGCAGAGGAAGTCTGGAGAGAGAGAAAGAGAGGGAAAACGCAAGAAACCGCGAGAAAATAAGCGGGCGGAAGGGGACGATAGTTGCCGAGGATCTCAAAGGAAAGGGCTTTGCTTTCCCGAGAAAATCCCGAGAACGAGGAGAGGAAAGCTCGAAGACCCTTTTGGGCATCGCCGTCCTCTGCGACATTTCGCTTTCCCATTTCCGGCTCATCCCTCCTCCGATTCCTTCCCGGTCGCGCCTCCGTCCTCGCGCGAACGCGACGGCGAAAACCCGACGAAGCAAGCTCCGCTGCCGACGAAGCGGGGGCGCGAATACAGCAGCTTAGTGTTTGCAGCCGGCCAAAAGATTGATTCGGAGTGGTTCGAGTGATTGGTTTGTTCGATTGTAACGTTGAAAGCCGGTTCCTTTCTGCGTCGTGGGGCGTTTTGTTTTGGAGATTGGCCCACGTTATGGTGTCCGCAACGTTGAGCGGCCGTTGCTGGTGACGGAGTTGAGGCTCGCGAGCTCGTACTTTGATCCATAGTCGAGTTGAATCTCGCCAGCAATGGTATTTGTCAATCATGTTTTCCCGTTTCTGTGCTTTCGATGTTGTCAGCATCAGTTGACATTTGTGATTAGTAATGTGGTCCTATGAACGCATATAGAAGTTGATTTTTTTTTTCCATTTTTAGTTCGAGGCTGTTCAATGTGGAGGTTTTGCTGAGATGTTATTAATTTGTATCGTCCACAGAGGTTCGGCAGAAGATGGTCATCTTGTTTCTGATTGATTGCAATGACGAAGGGTTCAGCTCAAAATTGCATTTACTCTAGTGCAGAGTAACTATTTGGAAATGATTGACTATGTCGAAATATTTATGCTATTTTGTCATGACTTTAGCTGCTTTAAACTATGTCCGGCGAATGTGTGTCCCCTCTTTGTTAGCAGATGGAGTGAATCATCTGGTACTTCATGAATAAATGTTTAGTTTGGAATTGCTATAGCAGTTCTTTCTCAAGATGGAATTTTTCTGCATTGGTTAGTGTGCAGGCTCTCTATGGAGATCACCCTTTAAATTATGGGATCTTCATAAAACTGCAGTCCCAGTCATGCATGCTTGAGACTATTCTGTATTAGACAAGTTGATGAACGGTGCACTTGTTTTACCAATCTGTGCATTTAGAAGTGTTTTTACTGTTTTACAGGCCACTTCAATGGCTGTAGCGGTTGGATCTGTTGTATGGGTGGAGGATCCTGACGTAGCCTGGATAGATGGTGAAGTCGTGGAAGTCAATGGCGAAGAGATAAAGATAAATTTGACATCAGGAAGGACGGTAGGTTTTACGTTTCCCAGTTTTTTTAAGAAAGCGGTTTTATCAAATATTGTTTGTTTTTTTTTAAATTATATATATTTTTATTTTTTTGGGGGGTTGATTGCAAGATTCCTTGTATATGATTTGGTTGTGTGTACTTGTTTAGTTTCGCTTACTTGACAGTTTTCTTATGCATATTGTATTGTTTCTCAAGTTATTTGTTTCCAGTAATGTACTTTAGTCTGGTGCTTGGACAGGGTGAACACTATGAGAACTACACCAAATTTACCTAATGTCTTAGCTTCCCATTGAAATGATGCATGTATGCCAAATTTTTGTCGGCCAGAGCATATATGGCTGATTCGAGTGATGAAGTGAATGTGCTCCTCTTCCATTTTATGTTTTCTGCATGAGCAAGTGCAGAAAATGGTTATTATAGGACCAGATGCTTGGAGTCATGATTAAATACTGAACGGCATGCTTTTTATGGGGCTAATGACCGGCTTTTTCGCCAATGCCAGGGGATACTATATTCATTATCAATTGGTAACTTTCTGGGTCTGATAGACTGATTGTGAGCTGATTCAAATAGAGTTGCTTCTGTGGTGTGTCGAAGAATTTATAAGCTGTTTGTGAGTCTAAATGATTAGAAGACATTTTAGGGAAAGGATCTTGCCATATTTCACTTTGGGTGGTGTAGGATTTAGTTCTGTTTTAGTTTTGTGCTTTTGTGTCAATGGCATAAAATTGCCTTTGGACTAGCCAAACAGAGGATTATCTTTGGCCTTATTCCAGGTATCAGAGTTGTGATTTTGGACTGCCTAGTTATCTTTTTCAGATGATAAAGATAGAATTGTCTTTTAAATTCATCAACCGTTCTCTAGAGACTGTTTAGAAACTGCGGGCCATTCTGATTGAGGAGCTTCTGGGAGTCTTTTTTAACTGTAGATGAGTTTCAGAAAATATTACTGATGTGAAAACATCCGGAAATCATTGGGAAGGTGGGTGGTCTCTGGCAGTAATTGTGAGGTGGGTGGTAAGATGAATAAAGTGGAACACTCTGTTTTACAAACTTGGAGGATTTGTCATGACATCTTCTGTTTTTTGGTAACTTTGTACTACTATCTGTCATTGCTTCAGGTGCCTACTAGAGGATTTCTTTCTAATGTGATTCTTGCCTGTGTAGGACTGCTAGCTGCACCTATTTTCTACAATCATTCTTTTCCCCTTTGTCATATCCCTTCTTAACACTTCTAAATTAGTTCTCTCCTATTTTCTTCAAGTGCACAAAGTATTCAAAAAGAATATGGCTTTCTGGATTTAAATGGTACTTTAGTTGCTTTATGCCAAGATGGTTGTTATCTTGGTAAGTTCAGCAATGTGTCTGTTGACAATAGCCGTTATTATATTGTGCAGTGTCCTTACTGTGCATGTGTTTGTAATTATTTCATGGAAGGATTATTTGGGTGAGATTGATTGTGTTGCACATGAGATATAGGTTTTATGTCATATCAATTGCAAAACTATGCAAAAACTTACTGTATATCATCAGATGAGAGTCAGGTCATTGTGGTGAAGCTATTTAAAAGCTCACTAATTTTTTTTCAGATTAGAATTATGTTGCATGATTGTAAGATGTTTTCTGTTAGAATGTTTACTTTACTGTTAAGTTATGTTATAAAGGATCGTTCTAGTCCAGCGCTATCCGCATTTCTAGGCAACATATCAATTCATAGATTTTAAGAGATTAAGAAGAATGTCTACGTGACTTTAAGTGCGAATGTTATTTTATGCAAGTGTTTGACATTAAGTAAAAGTTCAACCGGAAGGAAAACATTAGTAACTCAAAAAAGTATAAAATTCACTCCAAACATAAAACTAATTTCTTCTGTACTATCCAAAAGAGAGGAGAATCAGACTTTATAGTTGCATGACCTGTCATTTGTCCAATACATTTAATAACATCATATTACCTATTCAAACGGAAGTGTGATTATGTTGGGTTTCAAGGCCGTTCATTATAACGTGAGTGTTTAAATATGAGGGTGCCTTTTTTGGAGTCTTGTTCACATGCTCTGGGTAACGATGGTGATATTGCCTTCTTGCCAGTTCATTTGTCCGCGTGATATCCTTGATCAAATGATGTTTGTTTAGTAGGGACGCATCTGTGGTCTGTTTCCTTCGCGGTTCTGCTCTTTTGTTCGCAATCTTTTACGATTCCATCTCAAAGGCAGGATAATGTACTTATTACCTAGCTTTTCGCATTTTAGGTTGTTACCAATGCTTCTACTGTCTATGCTAAAGATACTGAAGCTCCTCAATGCGGCGTGGATGATATGACGAGGCTTGCTTATCTGCATGAGCCTGGGGTTTTGGATAATTTAAGATGCAGATATGATCTCAATGAGATATATGTAAGGACAACTTGATATTGCATTGCATTATAATCTTTTTGTTGAGTTTTCATGTGTTGTGAAACCTTTCACAAGGTGGAATATTTAGCATTTGCTGCTGGGTTCTGGTTTTTCAGTAGTCAGTTGATTGCTGGCATTTTTAGCATTTGCGCTGACTGTTAATTGTTTCCATCTAGGGTTCACATATTAGTTTGCTTTGTTTTTAGGTAAGAATGAGCACATTCTCTCTGGGTCTGTTGCCACAGAATAAGTCTAATGTTTAATTTTTTCAGACTTATACGGGAAATATATTGATTGCGGTGAACCCTTTTCGGAGGTTACCTCATTTATATGACAATTACATGATGGAACAATATAAAGGGGCTGCTTTTGGTGAATTAAGCCCTCATCCATTTGCTGTTGCAGATTCTGCATACAGGTAATTGTTTGACCATATGTCATGCTGTACAATTATTGATAGGCTTCTGATGATTTCTGTCTATGCAGACAGATGATCAATGAAGGTATAAGCCAAGCCATTTTGGTAAGCGGAGAGAGCGGAGCTGGTAAAACAGAAAGCACTAAGATGCTTATGCGCTATCTTGCTTATATGGGTGGGAGAGCTGCGGCAGAGGGAAGAACTGTGGAGCAGCAAGTTCTTGAGGTAAACTTATTTTTTTTTGGAGCAGCAAGTCTTTGAGGTAAACTTTTCAGTTATTGCTGGATCATCATTTGTAGTAGTCCTGATTACTGACGGTTTGTTTTTTCTTTTTTACTCTGGAAAATACCTGATATTTTTGTCTTTTTCTATTATCCTTTTATATGAATATTTCTTTCTGAGGGTTTGCCAAGGTTGTCTCATTTCTCAAATTTTTTTGTAGTCTAACCCTGTTTTGGAAGCATTTGGTAATGCCAAGACAGTTAGAAATAATAACTCAAGGTCAGAATCTTTTGATTGCGTACTATAGACTTGTCATTTTTCTTTTAAAATTTTACCAGAGGCTGCATACTGATTGGAAGTCACTATTTGCACGTAGTCGCTTTGGTAAGTTTGTGGAAATCCAATTTGATCAAAGAGGAAGAATTTCGGGAGCTGCAATAAGGACATACTTGCTAGAGCGGTCGCGCGTTTGCCAAGTGTCTGATCCCGAGAGAAACTACCATTGCTTCTATATGCTTTGTGCCGCACCGCAGGAGGTAAACTAACTTCATTGATTGCTCTTTGGCGGCTTTTACTTTTTCTTTATGCTCCTGCTTCCAAAAATCTTGCAAGGTTTAAATCACGAGTCTTCTTGTTTCAGTCCAGCTTGTTGTGAACATAAGTGGCATGTATTGAGTTATAATATTGGTGTTTCTTGCTGAAAATCTGTGCATTTATGTCATATGCATAATATACCATCCCGATAAAAGGCGTACTTGCCCAAGAACCGAACTGACTGAGCATTATGTGATTGATGGCTGTAATGCTCTTAACAGTCGTGTTACTGCCTCAGGGTATTTGATAACTTCTCATCCTTATACTTAGCTGTCTAATGTGTTTTTTTTACCGGTCAATCTGTTGTTTTGAACTTTGGTAAGTTCCAAATGGCAGAGCATCTGCTATTGTTTTAATGTTGTTTGTTGTTTCTGTTAGGGTCAAGATACTGGTTAATTTTAATCCTAGAAACTCGGCCGAGTTGTTCTTAAAGTAGGTATAGCCAGCTTTTGGTCATGTCATTCTTTAGGTATACTTCTCAAGATGAAACATTTTCTCTAACTTCCAGGCTTGAAGGGAAATGGCCTATGAATATTATACAACAAGAAGCAGCAGGGCCATTGTTATTGAAAGGCTTTTGCATTGAAGTCTTTGCCGTGATTTATCTCGATTCCATATGCCTTGATGTCATGCTCAATTAGCTTATGAATCTCATTAGGTTTTCAGTAGTGGGTTTATAAATAGGCGATGTTCCATAAGTTTCACATTTGATTTCTCATGCTTCAAAAGTGATATGCTTTTGAAGTAATTCTCAAATTATTTACCAGAGAAAAAGATTTTTTAGTTACTAGCTATGATACTGGCTCTCAGGATGTTGAGAGGTATAAATTGGGGAATCCAAGGAGGTTTCATTATCTGAATCAATCAAACTGCTTTGAGCTGGATGGAGTGAATGATTCTGAGGAGTATATTGCGACTAGAAAGGCTATGGAAGTCGTTGGCATAAGTCCTTATGAGCAGGTAGTTTGTTAATGATTGAAATAATATTTGTGGAAAGAAGTTGGTTGTTAGAAAAAGGTGTTTGTGGTGATAAGTTTTTATACCTTGCCCCAGGATGCGATCTTCCGAGTTGTTGCTGCTATACTTCATCTAGGGAATGTTGAGTTCGCAAAGGGCGAGGAAGCAGATTCTTCCAAACCCAAAGATGATGAGTCACGATTCCATCTTAAAATGGCAGCTGAATTGTTCATGTATGTTTGCTTTTATGATATGCTTTAGAAATCTCCTTTTAAATTAGACGAAATGTGCTTGAACAAAAAGTTAACAGCTGCAGAGTTGTTGTTTAGGTGTGATGAGAAGTCTCTTGAAGATTCTTTGTGCAAACGTGTGATTGTGACTCGTGATGAGTCCATAACAAAATGGATGAACCCAGAGGCTGCAGCTGTCAACAGAGATGCTTTGGCGAAAATTGTCTATTCAAGATTATTTGATTGGTAGGTTTTTAATCTTGTTAGAAGCTAAACATCTACGTCATATCTTGTCAGCTGTGTACACATTCTTTGTTGAATAGGAGAAGCAAATTATGCCAATTTCACTTTAAGAAAATTGGCATTGGTTTTTGATTGTTTCTTATTAATGATATCCCTTGAACAGAACTCAAAATAATTGCTTTGTGTTAAATTTATTTTTTGGGCTCTCTCGGGCAAATCTTACATCTCTGAAATTCAGATGGCTTCACACCATACCTTGTGGGGAGTTTACTTTTTTTTGTAGTTTTGTTCTTTCTACCAAGATTTGCTTTTAACTTTGATGTTGAATATTTCTAGGTTTTATGCATAACAAATCGAATTGCATATTGGAAGGACAATTATTTCTTTAATATGCACATGGATGCCCTCTCCAATAGGAGATGACATCTGCCTGTTATAGAATTTTGTAACTTTGACCCCAGGGTTAATGATGTCATGCAATATCGTAAAGGAAATTTGGAGTTGTATGAACTGCTAAATGGGATAAAAATATTCAGCGTGACTGAAGGAAGTAAGGATACCATAACGAAATAAGTTTTGAAGTTGTATGAACTGCTAAATGCTAGAAACTATCGGTATGACTCAAGAAACTAAAGATGCTAAAAAGAATTATCCAATGAAGATTGGTTTTAGATTGTGTGCTGTCATAAGTGGGGGAATGGCATTCATCTGTAGTTTAGCAAAATTTTTATAAACAGATCAATGCTGCCTCAAAATACTATTGTTCTTTAATGTTCTTTTCTTGAATGCTTTAGGCTTGTGAACAAGATCAATAGCTCGATTGGGCAAGATCCCGATTCAAAGTTCTTAATTGGGGTTTTGGATATCTACGGATTTGAGAGTTTCAAGACAAACAGGTGCTTTACCGGTACGCTTTTGTATTTTGATCATTTGTGTAGTTTACCTTGAGATGTTTGAACAAAAGTTGCCATTTTATATCATGTTGGGTCAATTTGTTAATTGTTGAATCTTATATCTTTTCATTTGGTGTGTGTAAGCAATATCGCGTCTAGCACGGCTTTAGTTGGTTGACTGTGCTCATCTTCACCTGGGAAAACTTGACTGAGATTATTGGCGCTTTAAAGCCTCCCATTTGGGGTATATACGAATAATGCTGGTTGACCTAATGGTCATACTTCACATATTATCACCACAATCACATAAATAATGCAACGTTCTTTCTTTGTGGATCTCAACAGTAATTCCTCTTTGTTATTGTACATGTCTGCAGGGAAGATGATATTACTTCATTTAGTTCTATTAGGAAATTCATGGCTTAAGTATTGATCATAAGCTGCTGATCCATACTTCTTGGTTCCTGTAAAGACATTGGTTGTTTTCTTTTACATTGATGTTGACTTCCATGAATGCTTACCTCATCTTTTTTGTGACTCCTCGCAGCTTTGAGCAATTTTGCATAAACTTGACAAATGAAAAGCTGCAACAACATTTCAATCAGGTTTTGAATGGAATATATATAGCTGTTGCTTGTTAGAAATGTGGGTGATTTTCAGTGGTGGTCACTGAATTTTTGTGGATTTTGCCATTGGGTTATTGAACTTTGATTTTTACCAAATGCAATGATTTTTTTTTCTTGGCAATTGATGCATTTTGACATAAATCTGGTCAGTTTTCCGGCAAATGGCTGACATTGTGGACAAATAGCCATTTTTTTTTGGAAGGCATTTCATTGCCATGTGGCTGCACATCTGTAGATCGTTGGAATTTTGTCCGGATTTCGGTCCAAGTGAATCTTTTGCAAAGAAATGAAAATTAGTATGTGGGGGTGATTGATATCATAATCCAATTATTTGATTGCAAAATTCACTAAAGTTCAGTGACCCAATGGATGAAATTTACACCTGGAAGTACTTTTGAAGGTGTCTACTACTTGTAGTTCAACAATCTATCATGATGCCAATGTTATTTGCTTTTCAGCATGTTTTTAAGATGGAGCAAGAAGAATATACAAGGGAAGAAATTGATTGGAGTTACATAGAGTTCATTGATAATCAAGATGTCCTTGATCTATTAGAAAAGGTATGTTACCTTTTCTTGCCAGAAATAGTTCATGGAGACACAACTTATATACTAAGTGTTTGTATATGTAGGTGTTGGTATAGTACGAAAATTGTTGGTTGTGGGGCATGTTTCAATTATTTAAATTTGTGTGAATTAACAATGAGGGAGTTCTTTCTTCTTATGTACTGTTTTGTCAACAAGTTCTCAATTTCATATGAAAACCAATTGAGCAATGCAGTATTTGTGGTTTCTATACAAAATCGCTTGAATGATCTCAGTTGACAATCAGAACTAACAATCAGTGGACTTGTCTGGCATGCGTAGTCTCTTAGGTACAACAAAACAAGGTCTGTTTTGTAGTGGCCATCCATTTCAGTAAACATTTTTTTTTTTTGGATAAGTAGTGAAATTATATATTAGTACAGCATCATGGCTGAATGGAGGCTAGGTTGCTTTAACAAGAGTGTGCTAATTAAAGACAACCTTGAAATAGGGACCTGGGAATAACTGAACTAAGTGTAATCTGAATTTTTGGGGTGGCTTAGTGCTGTAAATAGCCAGAAGCCTTAGGAGTGGCAAACTTCTAAATAGTTTATCTAGTCAGGGTCCTCGATTGCTTTGTTTTTCACATGAATCTCATTCTATGGCTAAAATCAGGAATATCCACTGTTAAGAGATGCGTCAGTTGAAACTAAGCCATTACAACTTTTTTATCCATTTTTCCCACTGCTGTTATGAAATTTCTTTCCTTTGCTTTTTGTTGAGTTCAATTTATTATAAGGTTTGGATAAATTTCTTGATCCAAGTAATTCATACTAGTATTTATATATTCTATTCTTTGTAATTTCAGAAACCTGGTGGCATCATTGCTCTTTTGGATGAGGCTTGGTATGTCCTAAAATTGTCTCATGTTGCAGCTATCAATGGAGCTTCTTACGTCTAAGACTCTAACTGCAACTTGTAATTTTTTGTAGCATGTTTCCAAAATCCACCCATGAGACATTTGCGGAAAAACTTTACCAGACATTTAAGGATCACAAGCGCTTCAGTAAACCAAAATTGTCGAGGAGTGATTTCACCATTTGCCATTATGCGGGTGATGTGAGTATATTTTTAGCACTTCACTGGATATGCAGGTCCTATTTTCCTGATTTTACTCCCTAGTTCCCCTCCTAGCACTTTTTCAGATCCTTGCTGGCATGTAGACGCTAAATGGTTGTTGTGGTTTGTGGAAAATCCACTTGCCAGGTTACTTACCAAACAGAGTTTTTCCTGGACAAGAATAAAGATTATGTTGTTGCAGAGCATCAGGCGCTCCTGAGTGCGTCAAGGTGCACCTTTGTGTCAGGCTTGTTCCCCCCCTTACCTGAGGAATCTTCCAAATCATCTAAGTTCTCATCTATAGGTTCTCGCTTTAAGGTCTGATTTGCTGACTGGTCTGGGGAGTTTTGATGTACTTTGCCTGGTGTTTTACTTTCCTTAAAGTTTCTTTGCTTGTGTCTTCTCTGCAGCAACAATTACAAGCTTTACTTGAAACGCTCAGTGCTACTGAGCCCCACTATATCCGATGTGTAAAGCCAAATAATCTACTTAAGCCTGCAATTTTTGAAAGCAGTAATGTCCTGCAGCAACTCCGCTGTGGGGTTAGTGTTTCATTTTCTTTGTTTGATTCTCTTATACAGGCAGATGCTACTATGAGTGGCTTTGGATTTATTTGTACACTTTTCAGGGAGTTATGGAGGCAATTAGGATCAGCTGCGCGGGATATCCTACTAGGAAGACTTTCGATGAGTTCGTTGGTCGATTTGGCATCCTGGCACCTGATGTTCTGAGTGGGAGGTAGTTAACAGTTTATTGACATCTCCGTGGAAATTATTTCCTTCTTTTGTTTGTTTTCTAGCCTTAGTTTACTTTCTTGCATATCTGATTCATCAATGCATACTTATTTGTTATCCATGTGCTGGTAGCTTTGATGAGATCACTGTGTGCAAGAAGATATTGGAGAGGGTGAACCTTGATGGTTATCAGGTTCGTGACTTGTGTGTCTGTAATGTGCAATCTTCTAAGTTTTTAACTTTTTGGAGAGGGCATTGCTTACTTCCCTTATGTTCTTGTAACTAGTCTGCATGACCATGGTCGTCTCTGACCATCAATCGGGGGATCATATAAGCTTCTGGCCTCATTATTATTCCTTTGATGTGGTTTATTTCCATCATTAGCCAGTAGTTGTGCTGGTTGAGACTGAATTTGCTATGGTGTAACAATCACAACACTGATGTAATTTCAATTAACAGGTTGGCAAGACAAAAGTGTTTCTTCGAGCAGGTCAGATGGCAGAACTGGATGCACGTCGAATTGAGGTCCTTGGTAGATCTGCTAGTATTATTCAAAGAAAAGTTCGTTCCTATTTGAGTCGCAAAAGTTTTATCCAGTTGCGCCTGACTGCAATCCAAATCCAAGCCATGTCAAGAGGTATAAAGTACAAGCTTCTAAAAGAATCAATTGCTTTTTTTTAATGGTCCATTGATTTACTTATAAGTTGGTTGTCATTAATATTTTGCTGATTGTAGGACAAGTTGCACGCTGTAGATTTGAGAACATGAGAAGAGAAGCTGCTTGTTTGAAGATCCAGAGAGTTTGGCGCATGTGTCTTGCTAGGCAAGTGTACATAAATTTGTACTCTTCTGCTCTTTCTATTCAAACTGGTTTACGTGGGATGGCTGCCCGTGATGAGTTGCGGCATAGAAAGCAGACAAGGGCTGCTGTTATTCTTCAGGTAGGCACCTACTGAGTTGTTGAAATTGATATATTCTTGAACATAATATGAGTGAAGCCCTTACCTCACCAGAAAGCGGTTTTATTGCTGCAAGGACTAGCAGTTCTTTGTTTTATCTTTACCTGACGCAAACCCAGGGGGCGCAATTAATTTTTTCTTGTTGATAGATGCTTCCCGATTCTGATTTTCTTTGTTTCTTTTTGCTTTCTAAATAATCCAGAAGCTTTTAATATAGGGTTTCTTTGAAAAATTTGTGATACTTACAGGATAAAAAAAGATCCTTCTCACTATATGATGTGAGGTTAAGAAGCATGAATTTCTTATTCCGCTGTTTGGGTATCACAAAACTTGGCCATTATTTTTGTTGTTTTCATTGCAGGTCTCTTGTTATTTAGAAGCTGTAGTTCTCAGTGCATTCGAGCAATATTAACTTAGGTTCTACAATTATTGTGTCTCCAAAATCGAAGAAATTTACCAGGAGTTGGAAGGGAAATTTTCGTTTGAGTTAGACATGACAGTTGTCATTATGATTTTCTAGAGAGTTCAATTGGTCTCTTCTCATCTTTGAATTACTTATGTCTATTGTATGTAACATTTGAGAAATTGCATGTTGATAGACATTTCCCTTTTTTTAATCTTTTCCTTTTATTAATTTGTGCTTTTTTTTTATACTAAAAGCAATTGATATCTATTACAGAGTCATTGTCGGAAATATTTGGTCCGAGCTTATTACCTTACGTTAAAGAAAGCAGCAATTACCACACAATGTGCCTGGAGAGGAAGGGTTGCCAGGAGAGAGTTACGGAAACTTAAGTTGGTAAATACTCTTGCTTCTTTTGTGGTTTCATCATTGGCTTCAGTGTCAGCTGGTCAATTTTTTTTAAAATTTTTTATGAGAATATTCTTAACAATCCACTATGGAATGATATCTATGCTTAAGAAATCCTTTAGGTTAAAGATGGGTCCTTCTTTCTTTTGCCAGAATTATCTGGAGGTTTAGAGATTCCTGAGCCATTTGATATGATAGTGATCGTGTTATGTGCCAACTTCCTTTTAGTTGTGCATGGCGCATTGATTCATTCTTATCTTCATTCAGGCTGCCAAAGAGACTGGTGCTCTTCAAGCTGCTAAAACTATGTTGGAAAAGCAAGTTGAAGAACTAACCTGGCGTTTGCAGCTGGAGAAGCGCATGAGAGTAAGATGGTTCTTTGATTGATACATGATGTGTTATTGCTCTTTTTTGATTGACAGGGAATATTGTTAATGCACATCCTGTTGTTATGGTGAAATTTTAGGGAGGGAACCTGGTACGAGGGTGTAATGGATGTGGTCATCATTTAGGATAAAGTAGAACACCTAATTTAAGTACTTTAGATTAGATTGTGGAATCCTATATCAAGTTCTAGATCTCTCTCTCTCTCTCTACAGAGTAACTCATGTCAGCATGGTACAGCTTCTCCAATGGAGGTTAATGATTTTTGACCAATATCCCGACAATTGAAACAGTGTGAGGAGAGTGCCCTGAATGCAGTTAGAAATGGATCTCATGTTCTTTATTGTGGTGAAAGGTACTTTCACGCATACATTCTAACTTCTTAGCTTTCTCTTTTGGTAATTTTTTTGTAGGCCGACATTGAGGAAGCAAAAACACAAGAAAATGTGAAGTTGAAGTCTGCTTTGCAAGAGATGCAACTTCAGTTTGAAGAAACGAAAGCCATGTTGGTCAAGGAACGAGAGGCTGCACAAAAAGCAGCTGAACAAGAGCCCATTGTTCAGGAGGTTCCAGTTGTTGATCATGAATTGATGAATAAGCTTGCGGCTGAAAATGAGAAACTCAAGGTTAGGTTGCTAAATACTTTTTAGTATGGATGTCGATTGTGACTTCTGAGTGTTAAGTTAAAGGGATTTCGTTTCATGTAGAAAAAGTTCTTCGACTCTTCAATTGTGATGGACGTTGTGGCATTGCAGGCTCTTGTGAGTTCACTGGAAAAGAAGATTGATGAAACAGAGAGAAAGTATGAAGAGACAAACAAGCTTAGTGAGGAGAGATTGAAGCAAGCTTTGGAAGCTGAATCCAAGATGATTGAATTGAAGATGAACATGCAGAGGTCTCTGCTTAATATTTTGTTCCTCTTTCAATATTTTTAAAGATGCATCCTAGGCTCCTTCTTTTTATCTGTTAGATGTGCTAATTGGAATTTGATCGTTTAGATGTTCAACTAAGGCTGAATGGTTCCTTGTGTGATCATGTTTTCAGGCTTGAAGAGAAACTTTCTGATATGGAAGCTGATGAGCAAGTTCTACGGCGGCAAGCTTTAATGAATGCACCTGTCAAGAAAATGTCAGAACATTTAGCAGTGAATAAAGATCAGGTAAGTTTGCCTCTGTAAGTAATCAGTGTGTGTTGCTTCCTTAGTGGAACTTTAATTGATTCTTTTTCTTCAAATGATCTGCAGCCATGGGAAAATGGTCATCATGTAAGTGATATGAGATCCAAGCATTTTCTTAAGTGCATTTTTTAGTGGATCGTTTCATCTGTTGTTGATGAAACCGAACCTATATTATTCAGGATCCACAAAGTGCTACTCCCACAAAAAAAGCTGATGGAGAGTCTGACAACAAACTGAGGAGATCCTTCGTGGAAAAGCAGCATGTATGTAACTTCAGAGTAGCAAATCCAACTTAATGCTTCAGCTTCTTCATTTTCCCCTTCAATCTAAATCTTAGATTTATTCGTCCCTTTCTTCCCCTGAATGTTAAGTCTAGGTTAATTTGTATGTCTGTCCTTTGACTGCCGTAGGAAAATGTTGATGCCCTTATGAGATGCGTGACTCAAGATCTCGGTTTTAGTGAAGGAGTACCAGTTGCTGCATTCACCATATACAAATGTCTCTTACACTGGAGATCACTTGAAGCAGAAAGAACTAATGTATTTGACCGTCTTATTCAGATGATTGGATCTGCGATAGAGGTGATTTATCCATTAGCTGCTCAATTTTCCTAATGAATGATCAAATTTGGCTTTCTTTGCTTGATAAGTGCTATGCAAATTTTAAGAAGGGGGCAGATAATTTTTATTATCTACTTTTTCGTCTTTTCGATTGGTCTGTTTCATATATTTGATGTGTGTTTTAAATATTCTTCATTTGTATTGATTCGTCGCTTCTTAGTTATCCCTTTTAGCTTGTAAAAGCCACGCTCAGATTTCAAAGAGTAGGTTTCCGTTGATCAAAGGATAAAGTTCATCTCGAGGTTCACTGTACTGGAATCTAATTTCGTGGACTGTAATTGGATTTTTTGCAGAACCAGGATAATAATGAACATATGGCATACTGGCTATCAAATAGTTCTACATTGTTGATTTTGCTTCAACGGAGTTTGAAGGCGACTGGTGGAGCTGGTGGAACTCCAACAAAAAAGGCTTCCCCAGCCACGTCGTTATTTGGGAGGATGACACAGGTAATGGGATGTTACTTCTTGTCTATCGGTTTATCATGTTTATGATATGTGCCTGTTTTGGTCCTGTCTATGATATCTTGTTCTAGATATTTTGGCATGGAGAAGGGTAATCTAGGATAGCTTACACTTAAAGCATCAAGTTCTATTGTATATTTCCTAAAACTGAAAATAGAAATTGGTAAGATGGAAGGACACAACAATATACTTGAATCTCTGATTCTTTTTTGTCAAATTTTTAAGAAATAATTCGAGATGCTGTTTTTTTAACTCAGGTAATGTATAAGGAAACTAATAGCGTCATAGTTTTTCTGATAATGAGTTTCAGGGTTTCCGTTCTTCCGCTTCTTCTGCCAACCTTCCGGTGGGGGGCCATGATGTAGTTCGCCATGTTGAGGCCAAGTATCCTGCTTTGCTTTTTCGGCAGCAGCTTACAGCATACGTGGAGAAGATATATGGAATTATTCGAGACAACTTGAAGAAGGAATTATCATCATTTCTGTCTTCTTGTATCCAGGTAAAGGATCCTGTGTTGGCCTTCCCTGAATTCTTAACTGAAGATTTAGAACCTTTTTCCTTTTGTTTTAAATGACAAAAAGGGTAAGCTCTTACTATTGTAGCTTATTTTGCTTTTTTTTTGGTCAAAAACTATGTCAAATTAAGTTGATTTCTATACTATTTATAAGGCTGGGTATTTGGTTGACTTGTATCCCGCCACCCGGCTGACTTTTTTGAATTTCTATACACTCATTCTTCCCCATGATTTATGTCCTTTTCAGTGTACTTATTTCTAAGGAAAAATGTCACAAACAGACCTTGAACTTTGGCTTAATGTGCAATTTGGTGCCTGAACTTTTAATTTGTTTAATGTAGTCCCTAAACTTTAACCAAATGTTCAATGTGGTTCTTGAACTTTAACCAAATGTTCAATGTGGTCCCTGAACTTTTAATTTGTTCAATGTCAACCTTGAACTTTTGGTACGTGTTCCATTTAATCCTTGAACTATATGAAAATATTCAATGTCGTCCTTCCATTAATTCAAGTTCAGGACTACATTGAACATTTTCATTAGGGGTGTAAATGGTTCGATTTTCTTGGAAAACTGAACCGAACCGAACCATTAGGAGTGCACAATTGAACCAAACTGAATCTCGCTCGAATCGAATATGAACTAAACCGAAAAACCAATTTGGTTAGGTTTGATTCGGCTCGGTTTTTGGTTTTTTTTTTCTTTCTTTTTTTTTTTTTGCTTTTTATTCAAACAAGGTCTCTTCTTTTTCCTGCTTTTTATTTTTTAATTTTCTGGCAAAGTAAAAAGAGGAAAAAGACAAGTACTTCGCTTCTTCTTCCATCTTCTTCCCCCCGCTGTAGAGTTTGCCGGAAGATTCTAGCCGCTTCCCAATAGTTTTTCTTGGAGATTTCAAAGCTCGTTCCTGCCGGTGCTGATCTTTCTAGAGGTCTTTGGAGCCTCTTGATCTCAGTCTCAGGCAATGTTTTTGGCTTGAATTCATCGAGTTCTTGTCTGAGAGCCACAGAGAGAGAGGACTGTTGCCATGGCAGATCAGTTCTTTAGAGCCCTCGATTGACGTCGAATCTCCGATCACAGCCATGGCAGATCGGTTCTTCCAGTCCTCGTTGCTGTCCACCATGATCGTCACCAACAGTCCCGCCGCCGATCTCGCCCTCACCAACCTTGCCTAGTGCTACCCCTCTGATCTCCGCTACTACACCTTCCCTGGCACCAAGCTCCCCCTCGCCTCCGTCGGGATTCCTTTGTCCTTTCTCTCTCATATCCTTTTCTCACGAGTTACTTTCTTCGACCTTCCCTCTCATTTTGATTCTTTGCTGCTGTTGTTGATCCGAATGCCATTTGATCGTCTACGTGTTTGATCTTCTCGAATTCGCACGATGGAGAATGGTTTTAGCCTTTTTAGCTAGGGTTTACCAAAAGGGTTTTTTCAGTGCGGTTCGATTTGAACTGAATTGGAAAAAAAAGAATGATTAGTTTCGATTATCCAAACCGAACCGAAATGTACAAAATTTTCGGTTCGGTTCGGTTCGGTTTGTATCTCGGTTCGGTTTTTCGGTTTGGTTCTGACATCCTAATTTTCATATAGTTCAGGGACTAAATTGAACATGTACCAAAAGTCAAAGGACCACATTGAACAAATTAAAAGTTTAGGGACCACATTGAACATTAGACTAAAGTTCAGGGACTACATTAAACAAATTAAAAGTTCAGAGACCAAATTGCACATTAGGCCAAAGTTCGGAGACTGATTATGTCATTATCCCTATTTCTAAGAAATCTGGGCTTCTCCTTGCATCTCATGTGATAGTTTCCTACTTGGGTGGGATGTCGCAACATTTATTATAAAGGCCTTGTACATGAATGAATAATTATCTGCGTTGATAAATGTTTTTTTTATTACGGACTTAGAAATAATTCAAATATCACAGACTTGATCCGATGGAACAATAACTTCAATAATGACAAATAACACTACTTTTAATCATTTTTGGAAGATCAATTCGATTTTGTTGTTAAAAGTTATCTTTTGATAGTGAAAGAAATGTAAACAAATTATCTGTATGAACACAGTGAAACAACATGAACTGTTCCTTCATCTGTACCATGATTTAGTTTCAGAAGAACTGTTCTTTTAGTTTTTTCCCTTCGTTTTGGTAATTTATGCCAAATATTTTGGCTTCCATTCTGTTGGGTTTGATATGCTTGGCTTATTTTTATACGGTTCTTTTCCCTTTTTATTTCATTTTTCTTGTATATTATAAAAAAATTTCCGTATAACTTTCCGTTGTTCGGAGCTAGAACTCTTCTTCACTTCCGAATAAGAATTACGCATATGAATCCACTGTTTCCTGATCACTTGCTATGGTCTGTCTTGTTTTTTACTCTTCCACTTGTCTAAGATTAATTTTTTCAGGCGCCCAGAACTTCAAGGGCTAATTCTTTAAGATCATCCGGACGGTCATTTGGAAATAGTCCTCCAGCTAACCACTGGCATGGTATCATTGAGAGTCTTAATGGCCTTCTACGTACATTGACAGAAAATTATGTAAGGATTTGCACTTTGAAAATGTGGAGATTTCTTTCTCGTCCAAGTTGTGTTGTGAACTGAAGGTTGCCATTTTTGCAGGTGCCACCTGTCCTCGTACAGAAAATATTTACCCAGACATTTTCCTACATGAATGTGCAGCTTTTTAACAGGTAATAGCTGCTCTTTTGGTTCAATCACGTTTTCTAGATTTCTACTTGCCCAAGTTGCCTATGAAAATGTTGCTTTCAGCCTGTTGCTTCGGCGGGAGTGCTGCACATTTAGCAACGGAGAATATGTTAAAGCTGGTTTAGCTGAATTGGAACTATGGTGTTGCCAAGCAAAACAAGAGGTGTGTTAATGTGACCTGCTTGACCACACTTAGATTCTGATTAACTGATCACGTTGGAGATTTTTTTTATTCTTATTCTCCTATCTCGTAATTAAAAGCTGGCATTGCTATTTAATACTAGTTGCTGTTGTTAATGCTTTCTGTTTATTACCTGTTGCTCATCTAAGTGATTATTGCAGTATGCAGGTTCATCCTGGGAAGAGCTCAAGGACATAAGGCAAGCTGTTGGATTCTTGGTACGTTTGTTCGGTGATTGTCTGAACACATTTCATTAAACCTACTATATGGTTTTATGCAGACGGTTCCAAACTTTTCATATTTAGCACCATGGAAAAACATCAGATTTTCATCTTACATCATGTTGACTAATTCTACATTTTAAGTAGTTGGTTGGAGGAAATATCAGGAGTAATTTTTATGTTTTATTGAGCCACAAGCTCCCCTTGTGGACACAATCTGAGCTTTCTGCAAATGCAGGGCTTGGCACCTCCTTTCTGACATATGAGAAGTACTTTCGACTCTCCAAAAATTAAAAGAAAGCATGTAAATGTATTTGAAATATTGGTGACTCATCGCAATGTTTCATTTTGTGGTACTCTCTAAAAGTTGTGTGGGTGATGGCCATATCCAGCGATATGGACAAATTCCACGGTGATATTTTCTTGATTGGATGCTTTCTATTAATAAATTGGTAAAGGAAAGTTGTCTTTATGGAAGACAATTTATCCCCTGGAGGATAAGAAAAATTTCTCTGGGAATAGATCAATTTGTCCATGCTCGATGGTGCAACCTTATGATCTAATAGACATTGCCTGAGTTTGCATTAGATGCCTGGATTGTTAAGTGCGATACAGCTTAGGAAAAAGAGAAGATGGAGCCATTTGACACTCAACAAGTCATAGGTCTATGCTGTATTATCCGACAAAGATACAGGAATTTTGCTGCATAAAGCAGTTGATCCGTAAAGCAAAGAAAGAATTTGATGGAAGTCTGATTTTGTCTATTTGAGGCACAAACATTGGCACGTCATGAACCTGATGAATCATGAGGGAATGCCTTGCTCTAATTACAGAAACGATGTGACTAGCTGAGGGTTCTTTGTTGACAATTCCCAAGAGAAGTAATGGTTGAGAAACTGGGAAGAGGATGAAATAGGTTACCGGTTTTATATGACACTTTGAATCACATAAAGTCTAGATTAGTGGATGTCAAGTTCTAGGTGGAGCGTGGAGGACAGCATGGTTTCACAGCCTACATCTAATGTTAGTCCAGTAAATAGAGCAATTGGTTTTTCAATGTTTCCTCACATTAAATGAGCAATGCGAACCGCTCTGGAAGAAAGGTAATTGCAAAGAGTATTGAGTACCTACATGCTATGTGCAAGTTATTACAATTTTGAAAGAAAAGCTTTGAGAGATGGATGAGGCTAGCTGTATGAATTTGTGATAGTTACTTACATATAAAAGAGGTTTGTTGGTTGGGCTGTGTTTCAAGGTTAAATAGGCGTTGCCGGACAATATTGAACTGTGTTTAGTGTATAGAGGCAGCAGGGGAAAACAAGTCTATGACCTTCTTTTGCCAATTTATTAGAAGATCGTGAAAAACAGGTTACCCAGCACTGAGCAGCGAAGCTGTTAAAGATTTTTGATATCTAGAAGTGGGTAATGAATATACAAGTTATAGTAGATCTGTGAATTTAAGTTTGGCACCTGGAAGTTGGTTCTCTCTACTCAGTCATATGTTTGGATCTGATATATTGTAATGCACACAGCGTCATAGGAGCTAGGTTAGTCAAGACTGATGTTTATTGAATGCGATGAAAGAATTTTGTGGCTCATGCCCATTCTCTAGGTTAATTACATACTCTCCTTTTCCTCCGGTGAAAATGCAAGCAATAACTATAAGTCGTCCTCTCATTCGCTATGTTTAGCCATAAAATTATGCTAGCTTACTTTGCTCCTTTGCTTTGAGTTTTAACTTGTCCTTTAGGCCCTCTCTCTCTGTGACCTTTCAACTTGTTCCCTTGCCATAAATTTGTATCTTCTCATTGGAGCAGCTCGAGGACATTGTTTTGTGTCCACACAGTTGTTATTTAATCTCATGCTATTTTTATTTGAGTGAGACCATCTTGTTGGATACCCTCATTTCTAATTCTTATATTATCTTGAAGGCCCAATTTCACTAAAGCATTCTGTCTTGGTTAATACTTTTTCAGGGCACATTGGTTGTAGCATCACTGTCCATAGAGAATTAGATAGCACCACTCTCCATAGAGCATTAGAGGCCTTTTTATATTCTAAGAAATTTTTCTCCTGTAGTTGGGGTTCAAAGAAATTATTGAATAACTGCTCTTCGATTTATGGAACAAAATGAATAAGCTAGGAGCAATAAGTAGGCAGTGCTGCTGCTTATCAGCTTAATGCATCGTCATAGCCATCATAGAATCTTCCATTTTCAGGTGCAGATTTTAGGACATTTATGCTACTTTGAGGGAGCAATTCAACGGTTACTCTGGCTCATTAGGAGCTATATGTGTATGTACAGTTGTGGGTCAATCTGCTTTCTTTTTCCACTGATGAATGGTGGAGTAAATCAAACTTCTTAGAACCTTTTTGAGATGTTATCTTTGAATTTCCCTGCAATTTTTGAAGGTGTGGAAGAGCCACTTGTTCAGATATCTAGTTGGTTGCTTTTCTTTCACAAGAATTGTGACTTTATCTGTGCTTCAGAAAACCTACGTGTAAATATGGCTTGTTATTGTGTTTTCTCATCATTAGGATAGATGAAATTACGATCTGATATATTCTAGTAACTGCTATTAAAGTAGAGGTGGAGATAAAAATGTGATTACATCATTGCACCAGCTAAGTTGGCTGCTTTTTCTACAGGTGATCCACCAGAAGTCAAGAATTTCCTATGATGACATCACAAATGACCTTTGCCCTGTAACTTTCTCAACTTCTTCATCCTTTCTCTTCTGCTTGCTTGTACTGCATTCTGGAACTTTGACATCAGGAGATATGAATAGCAAGACGATATTCTGGATAATTTTGTGAACAGATGACTAGCGCTAGCAATATCCAATGTTTTTTTCTTTTTCTTTCTTAGAAATCTCAAAGATGATTGTCTGTCCATCAATGAGAATCATGGATAAACAAATATAGAGTAGACATGTCACTAAATAAGTTAAAAACTGGTGGACGATGTACATTGTGTGTTAACTTGTAGAAAATTGTTGATCGCTATATTTTGTCCTTATTAAAGCTTTTTGTCTTTAGGTCCTGAGTGTTCAGCAGCTATATCGGATCTGTACACTATACTGGGATGACAACTACAACACTCGAAGTGTCTCTCCTGATGTATGTTTCCAACCTACAATTAGGTGCTCTAAGAAGATTCTCTTGCTGTTATACTGACAACCACAACCTCACTTTTTCTTCTTTAGGTAATTTCTAGCATGAGGATCCTCATGACAGAGGATTCTAGCAATGAAGCAAGCAACTCTTTTCTGTTGGACGACACTTCCAGGTAAATGTCTAACACCATAGATTGAAGATGGTGTTGTTCTCCTTTACATCATCATATTCTGATTGTACTTAATGCCTCTTGTGTGAAGCATACCTTTCTCGGTCGATGACATCTCCAGTTCCCTCCAAGTGAAGGATCTTTCTGACGTAAAACCCGCTGCAGATCTACTTGAGAATCCAGCCTTCCAATTTTTACGGGAATAAGGCTATTTTCTTTGTTGTCCCAGTATTCCCGAAGAATTGCCCGAAATTTCTCATCTTTTGGTTTGTCGCTCTGTAAATCATCCCCAGTTTTGTCCCTGTATGCTAGGTTTTGCTCCAGTTCGTCCATTTCCTGGTTCAGTCGTCGCTCTTCAAATTAGAGCTGTAAATTTATTTAGGCATTGTCATTTAGGCTATGGGGTAGGGATGGGTTACACCTTAGAATCCGTTTTTTCTTTTTTCCTTCTCAACTTCTCTCTCTCGATCTCTCTCCCCATGGGTCACTGGAGGATTAGAATTCTTTGTAGAATGGTAGTGGCTTTACGTGTCCAAGATAGTTTGGTGGGAAGAGCTGGTACAGAGAAGATTTAGAGCCTTCCCAAGTACCCACTTGTACAAAACTATGTAAAATGTAAAGGTAACATTAGGAGCAACCATCTTCGAGTTTAGAGAGAGTTTGTGGTACGTTATCTGCAAATGCGCTCTTTTGGACTATGATGGATCGTCATATTGTGCTACATTTTTAATGGTGCAGATGTGTTGATATAAGAGCATGTCAAGATGACAGCTTTTCCTTTTCCCCCCTTTACATATCGTTTCGTTGTCAATTCATTGCTGATCTTTTTGGTCTGAACTGATGCCTTAAGCTCAAGCAGATAGATTTGAAGTCAAGTGAAGATTCTCCTTTTGTACTTGTACAGCATGTTGCTTCTTCTTCCAGTTCCTCTTCTTTTTTTGAGTTGAGGAATTCACAAATTTAAATACTCTTCCTCAGCAGAGCATGTTAATGCATTGAAATAGATGAGTTGAGTGCCCTGTTATATGCATAAGCAAATTGCTCTATGAATTAATGACCCTTAATCCTAATTAATTGTCACTATTAATTGACAAGCACTGATAAATGGGTCAATTTTTTGACGTTAATTTTGGATTTTCAGATTTATTTCATGTTTTGGCGGATGATAAGCCGGTGTGGATGTGGCAAAATACTTAAAAAAATTAGATCTGTTGACTTGACCAAGTGAATTTGGGCTTTTTTTATGGTGCGTCTCTATCATCTCTCCTAGAAGCGTGCATACCTTTTGTTCTGCTTTCAAGTATGCAACTTTTTTCCGAACAATAAAGTTCGTGTTTATAACCGAACAAGTATGACGTACAAGCGAAGAGATGCATAGGAATGACTGGCGACATGACTATCGTCGGAGAGTGTCAAACCGCTCTTCCTGCGAAACAAGGAGTCCCCAAGATGGCGCGGAAACATTGTATGAACAGACAGACAAATACTTAGATTTATGGTTCGTGAGTGTGACTGTTTAGTGGACTTTATTCTACGTTCCATCTTGGACAGATTGGCAAAATCACATCAATGGGAAATGATTTTTTATGCAAGACATATATCACAATTCACACGTTATACAAAAAGCCCACCGTGAAAACTGAGAACTTACACGCACCTCTTTTTGCTGGAAGAGAACTTCCATCTACTTAGAATTATTTCATCCTCTTCCTTGTACAATAAATCATAAATGCTCCTACAAGAGGAAACACATGGGCTTCTAGCTTGGTTTAAGCATCTGCTTTTTGATTGACAAAATCCAGCCCAAGATTAGCAGCCTGCTCAAATGGGCTTTGAAGGTCCCAAAAATATTCACAAAGGGTTGTATATTCCTAACAAATAGAGGGCATTTTCTCCGACCATATTTCTAATTGGTGGGTTACAAATTATGAAAATAATTCACTTATAAACTTAACTAAACATAAATGTGGGTGATTGTAATCCACCAATTCAAAGATCAGTTGAAGGAAAACATAACTATTATATCTTTTTCCAACCCTGATTGGAGAAAATTTTCTCCAATCACAACTCTCATTGGTAGCTTACAAACATGAATATCACCCACATTTAATTATAGTTATGTTTGTTTTGCTAGTGAAGTCCATAACTTGTAACCCTCCGAATCGTGATGGACCAAAATGTCGCTTAAAAGAAATTGCTTATGATCATGACACACTTGAATACTTTCAGAAAAAAAGATCAGTATATGGGTAGCAAGTCTTTAGGGCTGCGTTCTCCTCTATCCCTAGTCTGAAATTTTTTTCTCCAAGCATGCAACTGATTGGTGGTTTATAGATATGGACATTACCCACATTTGATGAGTATACTTTGCAAGTGAGTCATTTTCATGATTTGAAATCCACAGACAAAGTTGAAGGAAAATTTTCTCTGGTTGTGAAAATATAGCCCAACAAATTGGTGCCAAACTGGTTGACTGAAGTATTTTTTTCAGTGTGAGCTAGAGTTGGCAACGACACCCGCAAAAATCCAAATGCCCAACACAAGCAATTTTCAGTTTATTGAAATCACATGCTATTCTTGTACTTGAAGGTTTCATTAAATGCATGTTGACCATTTCTTCACCAACAGTCTCTGTCTCTCTCTCTCTCTCTCATACAATCACGTGATCACATGTGTCACCCATGTTTCTTTCTCTGATTGTTTTCTTGCGGTCTAAAGTTCTTTCCTCTCTGATTCACAGCATTAATTGGGCTGACGAATTTTGTATTGGGGATACGCTTTCCGTTGTTACAGTTATGGAGTTAGTTGTTGGAGGGAAGCAACGAGATATGAGGCCCTTTTAAAATGTTTGCCCCCTATAAATAATGTTTCTGTGGGCATGAGAATGGAGGGAGTCTTCTTGTATGGGAGGAATCACATGGATGCATTATTACCTTGTAAAAACACACAAATAGAACCACATGGAGATTACATAGTTTAGGGAATATGCATGTCCTCAAATAAGATGCCAGCTGACTGCCAAAGCAAGAAAGGGACAAATACTTCCTCCAGAGCCCAAAGAGAGAAGGAAAAAACAATGACATAAATTGCATAGAAAGTAAAAGAATAATGAACATGTCTTAATCTTTCGGGTAGAAGATCTTTAGGTCTCCAAACCCGAGCAGATCTTTTCTGGGTTCTCTCTAGCTCCTATGTTCCTTGGTTTGTGCATTTGGGTGTGGGAAATTTAGTGAGGTTCATTCATATAATTGGGTGGGTTTGAATCTGACATGCTCTCTCTCTCTCTCTCTCTCTCTCTCTCTCTCTCTCTCTCTCTCTCTCTCTCTCTCTCTCAAATGGTCAAAGCACCCGAGCTTGGCTTGGGGGATGGTCTCGAGCAACTTAAACTTTCTTTTCTATTTTTAATGTCTTGAAAGCAGTTTGGTGCCCACAAGAAGTGGTCTTGTGTTTGTGCCAAGTTCGAGTGCCTAACATGGTATTTGGATCATGATCAGAAGTAGACTTCATTCAGTCAAGCCACTCGACCGACCTTATTAGCTGAATCCAACCATTGGAAGTCGTAATCCCTACATGTGGGAATGGCACTGAAGAGAGAGAGAGAGAGAGAGAGAGAGAGAGAGAGAGATTATTATGTCAACTGCTTTCCTTTATTTAGGGGGAAAAATTCCATTTTGGTACCCCAAGTGGAAGCGTTTTCTTAATTTGGTACCCAAAGTGAACACGGTGTCAAATAAGGACCCGAAGTGCTCAAAAAGTCTCAAATAAGGGCCTGGGTCGCCGGCCGGCCAAAATTGCATGTCGGCCGGCGAGAATGTTACTGTTCCGGCACCGGAACAGTAACTTTTTATTTTTTTTCCTTTTCTGTTTTTTTTTCTTTTCCTTTTCTTTTTTTTTTCTTCTCTTCCTTCGCTGGCCATAGCCGGGGCCGGCGGAGGTCGCCCGCCTTAGGCGGAGGAAGAGAAGTGCAGGGACCACTTATTTTGTTTCCTTTTATGTTTTTTTTTTCTTTTCCTTTTCTTTTTTTTTTCTTCTCTTCCTCCGCCGGCCATAGCCGGGGCCGGCGGAGGTCGTACTTCAGGGACCACATTAAACAAATTAAAAGTTCAGGGACCACTTTGCACATGGGGTCAAAGTGCAGGGATCGTTTGTGTCATATCCCTATCAATTATATTCATGTCATATTTATTAAATTGCCATTCTATTCCCAAACAAACACAACCCCAAATCCTAAACTCTATAACTCAAACCAACTAAAAAATCAAACCACTAAAACTCTAACCCAGATGCTAAACTAAGTTTGCAATGAGGGGCAATTTGGTCTTCTATATGTGAGATTTTGCTTGGAGGTATGTGAATTGTTCATGCAAAAATAGAGGTATGTAAGTGATCATTGAATAAAAATGAGGGATGTTTTTCTTAATGATATGAGATCTTGCTCTCTTTTTCTTTAAAGATAAAGAAGAATTATATTTTTCCTTCCGCATATATTGCCCGTCGGTATTTTGGGAAGAAGGGTTTCTTGCAAATCACACTTAATTTGAAGACGGTTAGCTGTTCTAGTTCTCAAGAATATTTCCATGTGATCCTTATTTGAACAACAAACATTAACATTTGGTTACATCGAACATCTCTCTCTCTCTCATCACATGAAATTAAATTATGTCAAGTCCTTGTTGCGATCATGACGCATCAGCCCAAAAATATGCAATTGTCGTTTTCTTTTTGCTTGACAATCGTCGTCCAATCCAAGCACTCACCAATGCCCAAGAGATCGTGGCGGTCAAACCTCACGCCTCCTAATCTTAGACAGGAGAGACGACGGTGCACGATATGACGGGTAACCTTAGAAAATTTCGAGAGATGTGTGACCGCTACTGGCCCAAGCCTATGTCAGTTAATAGACAGAGCAGTTACAATGCGCTTAATAGTGCTATATTATGATAAAGGAGTGGATTGAGTCAACTTAGAGGCCTAAACCCTCTCTCATAAGTTCATAGGTATGCGCATAATACATACATACATATATACACACACACACTACCTCTATGTCAATCCATATACAAGGGATCATGGTACTTTGGAGTCACTTTAATTTGATTGTTAAAATCTCCCATATCGCTTGACTACGAGGTTCATATTCTTTTTATATACACGTGGTCTCCTTTTATTTACTAGCTTAGACATTTTAAATTGGACTTTCTAACATTGATTTCGATCGTTTTCATATAGCAATCACAAAAATTGATATTTACGTCTATGTAGCATTTCTTCCAAGCCCTTTCCAGGGGCACTCAACCGCCATAGATGTCTATCAAGCCTAAGTAATGCTCATCACTGTTCTTGATTTTCCCCTTCCGTTGTTGCTATGTGTTTGGCCTCGGTTGTCTACGAAACTGTTATGTCTCATAACGGCTCCCTCAAACTCACAGCACAACCCACGAAAGCAAATGACATAACAACTCAGAGAGTGACCACTCTTCAGGTTCCTTGCGTGACCAGGGTCTACAAACCCTGGGCATTGTCACACTACTTGAGCTACTTTCTCTAGAACACAACCTAACATTTGTCCTACCCAACTAATCAGGAGAGCTAATTTCACAGTATCACAATGTGTACACAGATTAGCCGTATGCATTCTCTCAGCAGCATGTGAAAGACTAAGCCTAGTACTATACCACCAACCATTAGTAACAACAAGTGAAGTACGGGACAAATGCTCCTCTTCCAGCCCAATGCACCATGTCAAATTAGACGATTATAGCGTCCAACAAAAGGGGTAAT